TATCCTGTTGTTCTCCATTGTTTCACGTCCACGATTGCAATTGATGCGCACCTGCGCATTGGGCGGCAACATCCTTAAAAGCGCAGACCTTGAAATAAGCAATCCCCTATGGAGGGAACCTGCCTCCCTCACGGATTGTTTTCAACAAAGAGTAGTTCATCATAGGTAAGAAAGCAATCGGTACATTTATCAAAATATTAAGCTTCAAAACCCTGAAAAAAATAAATAAATAAAAGCAAGAATATCGGCTCCAAGGCTAAGCCTTTTGATATTTTAACCTCCCCCACGATCATGTTGACTGCGCCTGAAGCTGCATTCGCTTTTGAATATGCCACCCCGACGCCAAAAGCTGGCTACCCTACTGGAAATCAGACAGGTCCACATAATGTTAAGACCTTTTACTGTCCTGACTGTGTGTGGACTTGCTGAGGTCCTCAGAAAGTGTTCCTCTCTGCTCTAATAAGTACGAGCTGGAAGAGAATTTAGGGTTTGAGGGAATTGGCGTCGCTGGGATTTTCTCTTTTTTGACAGGAATTTTCTTTTCAATGAGTAGCCTAACGCTCTTATGAGCAAACTGATCAACTGTCGACATATGGAGGGGGTCAATGCTCAAGATTTTTTAAAGTGAACTTTTAAAATTCGTCCCCTTTTCTTCCTTTCATTTAGTTTCCCTTCCGTTTCCTTCGGTTTTGTTCTGTTCTGATTTATTTCTATTGCATTTTGCTTTCCATTATTCCGTTTTGAATTTTGTCCCCTACACGAGGGACAAGCAACTCCTTACCCCCTCTACCTTCGCGACGCCCACGGTCAGGGGGTATCAAAGGCGAAATTGTTATCAGAAACTCGGGTCGAAAGAGAAATGTGGCAGTCTGGTTGTTCCGCTGCTGTTTACCTGACTACAAGAAGCCAAAGGAAGTTCCACACTACGTACGTGAAACGTGCGCGTGCGCCTCCAACGGGGGCTTTCACCACCTCAGGGATGGTCACCTTCCACTTGAACGTGTAGCATCGCAAGAATCAGGCTCTCTTAAACTCCAAATCAACCGGCACAGATTGGAGATCGATACACAACACGTATTTACAACCGTCTTTGCGACCTTTCCCAAAGTCTAACCCCTCCCCCAAAAAGTGCCAAGCACGCTTTGGCGTGACTCAGAGGGGATACGGGTCTACTCTACACCGCTACGAGAGAGCACTCCCTCGGAACCATGGTTTTTCTTCAGACGCGGCGACGCCAGTAAGACACAGAATTCCCCATTCCAGCACTTTAGCTGGCAAACATACAGGCATCCTGTTTGTGGCAGGGGAAAAGTGTTTACTGTTTAGGTTTTCTGCTCTTTTTCACCAGACAGTAAATCTTGGTTGCCCCCTTTTTTTTGTCTCTCTCTCTCGCTTCGTTGTCCGTATGCATCACTCGGTGAAAATGAGTCAATGGTAACAGCTTCCGATTTTGCACTTCACAGCGCGCGTGCTCGACGCGCGGTGAAAAATAAAAAGAAAAGACACAGACCGACCGCGCTTCAATCTTTTACTCCGGCGCGCGCCATTTACCGATTCCCAATGATTCAATTAAGCAACTTTAAACTGATGAGTGTGATTCATTCGCAGAGTTGGGACTCAAGCGTGCTAATGCATAACCCTCCAGGTGACTTCACGGCACATTAACTCGGTAAACACCGCTCAACCTTTTCTGAAGTTGCAATTCCTCCGCGAAGGATGTCGAGCTAGCCCCAGAAACCTGGCCCTACTCCGACCGGCTCTCGTAGGTCACCAGGTCATGTAAAGCAGAGGCGAATACGCTAACTCTAGCGTCGAAAATAACAAAAAGCGTATTGACTCTGAAGCTCCATAAACAGTTTCGTATGGACGCAGAATCGCAGACAGCAAAGTCACGAAATCGCGTTGGAACATGTTTGCTTGATGTCTCCCCGGCAAATGGGAGCATCAACAAAAACCCACATTTGAAATGAATTGTGTGGGTGGGGAAGCTGTAGGTGGCCTTTGCTCATCTCCTTCAAGATTTGCGAAGGAAAAGCGGCCCTTTGGGTAGCCCATCCTGTTATTTTTCTAAAATTCTCTATGGCGTCCCAATATATAAAACAAAATATATCCAACAAGCACCCGAAGAAATCAGTGGTCACCAAGTGCTCTCTTCAACAGACGTCGATAAAATACAGTAAGTCGCTGCTTCTCTTGAGATGGTATCACTAATTAATCTGCATGCCCATGTGTAAACATCTCGATAGACAATTGGCTGTAAGAAAGTGACGTCACTGTAAAGATTTTTGTTTCATTAATCCATGATTGGTAGAGATAGCACACTGCATGCATTCCAATCGAGGGGTTAGGAGCCAGTGCGTAGCATGTTACAGACGCGTTTCTTTTTTGTCATTTTACGGCGATTTTCATACTAAAATCACACGCTTTCTCACTTAAATTAGGACGTGCAAAATCACTGTAAGTTTTATAAAAGTGGACGAAATCTCAGTTCTTAGGTGACCTTTCAAGACCAAAATTGGTGTTAAACGCGCCTCTGAACAGGTACATGAGCACACAATACAGATCTTGCACGGATACAAGAAGATTTCCGTGACAACGAAACCCTGCATGACTTCAACCTTTCGTTTTGGGGATCTTAGGTTTGGCAGGTGTACAAAAATAGCCGTCAAACATTAGCCTTAAGATGCCTGGCAGGACGGTCCGGAATATCACAATCTGATAAACTAGACGCGTACCTGGTGCGGCGAACAAAAACGTAGCGTAAGTAATTCAGTAGTCAGCAAGCTGAGTGGGTTAG